TTATTCACAATCAAAAAGCATATTAAACAAAATTAAAATTTCATTTTCCAAAAATTTGGGTCACCTTTCATGACAAAACATCCTTACATCACACTTGATGGCACAAAGGTCATCTATTGTGGCTAAGTGACTTGTCATTGCTTGAACCTTCTATGATGCGTGTTGCAGCACATCAATCAACAACAATAACAATTCCTTGCTGCCAGACCAAATGTAGAGGTTGAACTTTTGGTGCACATTAAATCTTTTTCCGACGTTTGATTAAGGTGATATAAGTTTCTCTGGTTATAGTTTATTCAGCATAGTAGCCATTGGCATCAATTTCATTTCCAAATTAATTCATATCATTGAGTTGGCACCCAAAATCACATTAATCACATTTGCACAATTTTAGCCTCTTAAGATGTCCAAAAATCATACTAAAGTATCAAAAGCTCACAATCACGCCTAGATTGAACTCAAGAAACTTGGGATAACCTATATAATATATCACATCAAGCAAAACCACCAATAAGTTTCATAAAAATTGAGACGAGGAGGTTTAATACCATTTTCTAACATTTCATTTCGTAATTCCTCAATATTATTATAATCCTACTTGCACCAAAGCTTTAACCCTATTCACACGATCTAGTTCATATAACACATAGATTTAAAGCCCAAAGTACAACCCATCATGCAAGATATGCAACTGGTGCAAGAATATAGAATAAAGAAGCCAATTGACAATATCATTATCATTTACACGTACTATGAAATTATTAAAGGCATTTTAGTAGGAAAACTCAATCATGTGCCTCCAAAGCTTCATTGTTGCTTTGATCAAGACTAGTGCATGTTATATTTTAAATGAGATGTGAGTATAGCTATAGTAATGCAAAACGAGCAATTGTAAATATCATATTTACAACCGAAGCATGTGTTACCATAGTCACGAACTTATCAATCGTGTGATAATTTATCAATGAGATGCATAATCAACAATCTCCTTTATAACCCCTTGATACCTCCAACTCAAACGGTGATGTAATAAATTGAATAGGGTTATGTCTGTGTAAATGGACAAACCCAAACTCACCAATTGTGAGTAGCTTCCAAGTCAAAGATTGCCACACTAACTCTCGAATCACAATTTTATCCATTTCATAAATCCCAAGGGTGTTGTTGACATAAACTGGTCTCTTCAAAGAATAAATGGAGCTAAGTTAGGTTGGAGTTTCTCAATAAATAGTGAGACAGTCCCTTAGTAAATAGTGGGATAGGTGACTATCCATCGGCTATTGAATGGCAGCCATGCTCCATAGATTTATCATTGTTCCTCTCTTAAGGCGAATTCCCACCAACAATGATAATGCAATGTTCACATGCTTAATACACATAGCATGTCGTATTTAACTCCATTATGCTCATAATATTTAGCATATTATATTTTCTCATTCCACAAACTCATAATAAACAACACATCACATAATCTCATTTTAAAATCATTATATTTAGGAATCAATACAACATTTCCATTAGAATGTCCTATTGCCAATCAACACTTTCACCAACAGAATTCACATCCCAAAAACATCTTTTAATTTCCACATTACTCAAAACATTTTTAACAACCATTTTCAAAAGCTACGCTTGCATCAGAGATTTTTAAAAACATGAAATATATCATAATATATACGAAGATAAATCTTGATATTCATTATTACATTTGTAAAATTCTACAATCCATTAACAAGCAATAAAACATAAAATAAATTTGTTTTAATTACCTTAAACTTTTAAATATGTAATAAATAAAGTTTCAGAATGTATAAAACATAGCTAGAGCATACAAAAAAATAATAATAATCATTTTATTCATATAATATCCAATTTATCATAACTTTACTAAATCACCAACAAAATTAAACAGAATTATATGCATATGTATATAAACAGATTTAGTTCCGTGAATAATAATAAAAATTAAAACTGCAAATATGTGAAATTTAAGAACTAACTTTAAAAACATTGAGACCAATAGTTGAATCTTGGTACAGATTTTTCTCCTGATGGGGAGCATGTGAGGGAGGGAATAGTAGGTAAAATAGAGGGCTGATGTGGGCTACGTAGGTGAAAAGACTGCTTGATTGAGTGGTTATAGTATAGGTAAGGGCCTTTTATTATTATTATGATGTGGGTGGGTTTGTTTAATGAAGTTGGATTCGTTGATTGATTTGGTTGATTCTATTTTCGCTTTATTTTTATTTTATTTTTCTAAATAATGATTGCTTAAGGAATCAACCACTCAGAATGCGACGCTGCCCACAAAAGGGGCTTTCCCCATGATTTCTTTCTTATAATTAGTCTGCTTCCAATCTTTTGCACTGAGATTTGTTCTTTGGTTGCGGTTCCATTTCAAGAAACTCTTTTTTCTTTTGTTACTTAAATTAAATCATTGGGTTTCTTTCATTCAAAGTACATTTTAGAGTACCAAATGTGGGAAATTCCTTAGCTTTCCTTAATCAATGCCTTTTCTTCTCCTTCTACGTTAAAACATTCCTACGACTATTAACATGTCCTTGTCGTGTTTTGTGTAGCAGAATTACATGAGCATCTTATACGGATTTCAATTTTGTGACCATATTTTCTTCTATAGTTGAATTTAGTCAAGCACCTACGTTTTAGATGAAGTATCAGAGTTTTCCGTAGGCTGACTAATTTGGAGACTACAAGAATGACAATATTTTACAACAAATATTTAATACAATTGCATATTTAAAATTTAAATTTAATATCTCTATTTTTTTAGCCAAAAAATTTAAGACCTTTATGGCACCTAACTAGCTAATCGATCTGCTCATTGGCATATTTTTTGGTGGGTTTTTTATTTTTTAAAGAAACACCAAATGAGTGGCTTGTGCTGAAAAATGAGGACAGTCCTTGATTTTTTTCAGATATTTTATTTCAAATTTTCCTATAACTTTTAGGGATTCCAATTGGGACGACATAGCACATACTCCCTTTATGAAAAAAATATAAAATATTGTTAATTAAATCTTACTTTTCAATAAAGTAGTTACTTTCTTGCAAATTAATCTCATCTTTTTATATTTATCCTAATTAAACACTATACAATAAATATAATGTTATTATCAATAGAGGTATTTTTTTTAAAAAATAATAATTGTATTTCAAAGAATTAAAAATGTATTATATTTTTAAATGGAGGGAGTAATAATTATAAAATATAGTTCTGATTTTTCATTTGACACATATTTTTGTCATCATTATTGATAACCCAATCTTTAATATCTTTTTATTTATCTGGCCGATGGTGAGAAGTCCAAAGGCTTGTTTCTTAAACAAAAGTTTATTTGTCATTTTTTTTTTGGGTAATTGAAACACACAAAAATCAATGACAAATAAGGAGTCAAAATATTTCGTTGAACGGTTTAACACAGGAATAGGCCTCGGCTAACAGATCAGAGCCGAGTAAAGATAGCTCGAAACCCATTTACTACTTCGTCATAAATTTAAATGGAAAATTTCTAATAGAGTCTTTCTCTTTTTTTCTTTTGTGGTCAAAGGAGCATTCCTAGAGTCTTTCTACTCCAAAGAATGGAAATAGCAAAAAAAAAAAAAAGTTGAGCATTTAATTAATTGAAGAAAAAAGGGATAATTCCATGTTGCTGTTCACCGCGCGTGCAAAAGAGCGAAGGATAATCAGAATCTTCATCCTCGCTTGTCTCAACGAACTCAACCGAGCCCCACCCACTGCCTGCGATATCACGAAAATACCCTCCTTCGAGACAAACCGTCCCTTCCCAATCTCAGCTTGCACGCAAAGCACGGAAGCTTCGTCCCCTTGCCCACAATCGTCATTTACCGCGTTTCCCTTGCTTTAACTCTCAACAAAAGCCCTCTTTTGTCACTTCCTGCTCTCCAATCACATAATTTCCAATTTCATTTTCTCACTTCTTTTTCTTAAGCCCCCATAAGGAAGACAAAACGAAGTTTACATCTGACCCAAGCCGAGCCGAGCCGTGACCGCGTGAAGGGTTGACCCGGTTTAAAGCCGAGCCGCCAAGAAGACCTTCTCAAAGCTTCGTTTTCCCCGACTGTGGAAAAACTAATGATTAGCCCAACCTCCGCGTAACAAAAAGCACCAATGCACAACTATCCAATGGGAAGAGGAGAGAGAATGCCCACAGGAAACCGGAATCTATAGGTGGATTTCCATATCACGTTATTAATTAATTATTAATTATTAAATTAATTAGTAATTAGCCATTCGTATCCCGCACAAGGGGATTTCTCGTGACCTTCAGCGCCTGGGCCCCCAAAAACCTATTGTATAACCGCCAGCTATTTCCATTCTGGCCACCACCCGCGGTAACACCCAAAATCCACGAAACCATTGCCTTATCCTTCTCCCACGTATTTCCCTCCTCTCACAACAAGCGCCACGTGTCGATTGAAACTACGCATTGGGGGTTTTTTTCACTTTACATTACAGAACTGACTTGGCCGCTCCCACGTGACACCCGGTTAGGTCGAAAACGCCCTTCTACCTCTCGCCTAACTAAACGAAACCAAACAAGGAGAAAATCGTCTTTTTAGTTTTAGAACTAACTAACTGGAAGGTAGGTAAGAATTATCCTGTACAAGTCGGCAGTTGAGCAGAAAAAGTACACCCGCCGCTTGGTATTTCAGCTTCCAGAGAATTTGCGTTAGTTGACCCTTTCAAAGTAAACTATCGCACAGATGGACGGTTAGATCTCAACATACTGCAAGAAATTGTATTCTATTTTGCCACATGTGATAATTCCGTCTTTCCTGCCACTTTCTGTTCTCTGACCGGTACAGGAACCAGAATACATCGATAACGCCGTCGTTGTGAATTTACCCAAATGCCCTTCCAGTTTACAAGGCGTAATACCGTTTATTTCCTTCTGTCCCCGCCAATAAATTTTCCCATTTAATAACGATAATTCCGTCATAACACGCAAAACGGGAAAGCCTTTCCGTTTTGTTCACCCTGAAACGCGAGGGGCGATAAACGCGTTTTGGACGGCAAGTTCTTGGTTGAACCACCAACCAACCACCACTTGGGCTCACATTTCTTCTCTGAGTGAGTTTCATTTAGTTTTTAAAACAGAGAGAATCAATTTTTTTAAAGGAAAAAAAAAATCAAATTTCATATGGTTTTCCGAACTCAATAATAAAGGCGTTCATATTTTGGAGTATAAAACTATAAATTATCCCTTCCGTGCTCTTTTTCGGTTTTCTAAGCATTCGTTTCTTCTCTCTCCTCATTCACTGTTTTCCTCTGTTTCATACGCGCCGGAAAACCTCTTTCCTCCGGCCGGTAAATTAATACGATTACGTGCGGCCATATTCTGTCACTCCACAGCAAGCTGGTTAACCCTTTCCAATCGGCGCATTTTTATTTTTCATTTTTTTGGCCGTGGTTGGTCGTGGAAGCGCTTGGATCTCTCTTTTGAGCTGGTTTCACCCTTGTACTCTTCGTTCTTCGAGAATGTGGCGAGTCTGGTTATCTTGGAAGGCTTTATTTTAATCTGTAACCATAAGGATCGTGATCTAGGGTTTACCTCTGGGATTTAGATTTAGTTTTTGGTTGTTTTCGCGATTTCTACTTCAAGTGTACAAAGACGGAGACCTACAGGGAGCGACTCCGTAATGAAATGGTAAGTCAACTGTCTTTCCTAATTTTCCCCCTATCTTGTAATTTGGTTTTTGATAGAAGCCTCTATTCTCTTCAAATTGCATTTTCTTCTGGTCCATCCTTCAGATCTTGGACATTGTTCGACTATGTACGGTCTAGATACAATTTTCCTTTTTTTTTTAGGCCGAGTGATGATTTTCCTGTTAAACCATGTAATTTGAATTTATGAACTCTAAGCTTGAGGGGGTTCCTGTTTTACATTGACGCTGAGGTGCATTATGGCGTAACGGACTTCAACTTTTTTCTCCCCCCATATGAACGGAAGCCCCCATCTATCGATTAGGGAAAATATGGGTTATTTACTTATATTAATTTTAATTTTAATTCCTTTTTTGTCTCCTTCGCTTTCCAGAAAAAGAATTCTGAGATTCATGTTCCTCAATGTTTAATAATTTTTTTTTTGGTCTCTAATTCTGTTTTTATAAAAAAAGTTTTCGCGGATTCAATATTTAATAAATCACGTAAATGTTTAATATTATTTACTGTTCGTTTGGCTTACGGTAAGGTGGGGAGTAATGATTTTGGGAAGAGGGACTGTTCAATTTTCAGCGCATGCATTTGTTGAATGTTTCTTTGTGGATCATTTTCGCTTGACCAAATTGCGTTTGCTCATTTGGTTCTAAGCGAAACGTTTTTTGTGAAAAACTCCAGTCGGTGGGTCAAATTTTATTCTTAGCGGTTTATTTTGCTGAAGGAGGTGATTTGCGTTCGGTTCAAGATTGTACAAGTTATGACGCTATTACTCGTGTATGACTTCGATTGAGTGATAATTAAAAACCGTGTTCATCTAGTTATTGGTTATTGAATTCTTGCTGGTAATATTCCAACCTTTTTTTTTGGGGGGGGGGGGGTTGCTGCTGCTGCTTGCTTGAGTTCACAATGCATTTGTCCAGTTCTCTCCGTTTATCTAGTTCCTATTCCAACTGGAGTTGCACATTGGGTTATCAATGCATGGAGCTAGGAACTTAAATTAACAAAGGCTTTGTCCAACATGTTTTAGACATGACACAGTATTGTAAAAAATATCAAGCCTTTATAGAAGTTGCTGTTTCCATCTTAATGTCCATGCGTCTTAGCTCTTGTATGAGAAATGATTTGAAGACGCAAATTGGCTCAATTAGTATTATCCTTTTCTGGGAGGAGGGTTTCGGGGAAGGGATACAATTATCTCTAGTCATGTGGCTCAATGTCCATACTCCTTTGGTTTGTTGTTTTGAAATTCTTTGATTTACTTCTTGGACCATTCTGATTTATACACAATCTCATGATACTAAAGTTTATTGTATGTAATGCACTTGTTGAGTTTGAAGTTATTGACATGATTTTACTTATTTTATGCATGTAACTATCGCTATAATTCTTCCAATTATATGCATGCCGTTCTGAGTATTAAATGGTGAATTGTCTATTAGGTGGAAAGAAGACTTTCTTTATCCAAGGAAGTTAGACTTGGGCTAGAATTCTTGAAGCGTAAAAGGCTTCAACGGGCAAAACTCATTACTGCCCCTGAAACAACTGTTGCTAGCACAATGACTAGAAGTGGGGGAGATGCTTTAAGAGCTTCAGCTTCATGTGGTGCCCGATTGCATGGCAATGCAGATGTCTTCTCCAAGCGGAAGGTGGATAAGTTTGAGACAAGTGATCTTGAATGGACTGAGAAAATTCCAGAATGTCCTGTGTATTCTCCAACGAAGGAGGAATTTGAGGATCCGCTGGTTTACTTGCAAAAGATAGCTCCAGAAGCTTCAAAATATGGTATGATCTATTGAATAATTTTTTCCTCTGGATTTTGAATTATGATATTAAACAGAGGCTTGATGGGGTGCTCATGCAAAATCATTTCACTATCTGTCACTTTTTCAAACATAATTTTTAAGGTTTGGTGCCAATCAATGCTGAGTATGTGTTAATAGTAAAGTATCATTGAGCAGTGAGCACTCAGCAAACTTCCAAATATAGACCATTTTAGTCTATGTGACCTTTTTCTGGCTTTCAATTAAGAGAAAGATCTTTGTTTTGACTTTAAAGATGTTTTTTTTTTTCATTGGATGTAGATTTGCTGAATATGTTTGAGGTGACGAATAAGTAGATTGAGAAAATTGTGACCTTACTATTCTTCATTAAATTTTGTTCAACTCCAGGCATATGCAAGATTATTTCACCTTTGAGTGCTTCTGTTCCTGCTGGAGTTGTTTTAATGAAGGAAAAAGCAGGATTCAAGTTTACAACTAGAGTACAGCCTCTTCGGCTTGCTGAGTGGGACACTGAAGACAAAGTCACATTTTTCATGAGTGGAAGGTAAGTTTTGTAAATGCATATATGTGAATCTTCAATGGTCTTATTTCTTTTGGTTTTTAATACAACTGTAATTCTTTCAGCAATTATACATTCCGTGATTTTGAGAAAATGGCGAATAGAGTTTTTGCACATAGATATTCTAGTGCTGGATCTCTTCCTCCCACATTTATGGAAAAAGAGTTTTGGCATGAAATTGCTTGTGGACAGATGGAAACTGTTGAATATGCGTGTGATGTTGATGGTAGTGCTTTTTCATCTTCTCCTACTGATCAGCTTGGGAACAGCAAATGGAATTTAAAGGTGTTAATTCTACTAATATCTCTTATTTCTTATCGTATTCTCTTATGATTACATCTTTTTCTTCGATATTTACAGAAAAGAAAATCTGGTTGAAAGATGCTTCTTTTTTGTGGTTCTATTTGTTCCATGCCTGATTGTTTGAACATGAAATTTCTTTTGCATTTTGCTACTCTGTTGAGAGTGATCTCGGAAAATATTTTTCTGTTGCTGATTCTGTTTCTCAGTTTCAATACTTAGTCACAGGAGAAATTACCAAAAGGCAATGGTATTGAAAGGGTTGTGGAAAAGAAATATGATTAGATGGTGATTGTTTCTGAAAGAAATGTGTATTAACTTGCCTTTAAAATATAACCTTCTTAACAGTTAGTTCCCATGTGATCTACTGTGTTTGTTTTCTGAACACTTTTGTAACATTCCCCTGATTCCTGTTCATGCCCGTATTTTTGTTGATCTAATTAGTGTTAGACAATCTTCTGTTATTTCCGATGGACTGATTGATCTGGCATTTTCATTAACTCACTCAAAGCTCAAATTTGTGTTTGGTCTCAGAAAGTTTCACAGTTGCCCAAGTCCATTTTGCGCCTCTTGGAAACCACAATTCCGGTATGTCAGTTATCTACTTATCTTACCTTAGTACTCACTTTTTCAACATACTTCTCCCTCTGACACCTTTTGACTTTATTTCAGGGAGTAACAGAACCCATGCTATACATTGGAATGCTCTTCAGTGTGTTTGCTTGGCATGTGGAGGATCATTATTTGTATAGGTAAATGTTTCATGTTTTCATGATAAATTTAGCTTAATATTAATACTGGCTAAATTACCTGCTTTATATGCCTAAATAATTATATTTACTCATTATATATTTTCTTGTGGCAGTATAAATTATCATCACTGTGGGGCATCAAAAACTTGGTACGGCATTCCAGGTCACGCAGCATTGGATTTTGAAAGGGTGGTGAGAGAGTATGTGTACTCTAAAGATATTCTTTCAAGTGATGGGGAAGATGGAGCCTTTGATGTTCTTCTGGGGAAAACAACTCTGTTCCCTCCAAATGTTTTGTTGGATAATGAAGTCCCCGTCTATAAGGCTGTTCAAATGCCAGGGGAGTTTGTAATAACTTTTCCCAGAGCATATCATGCTGGATTTAGTCATGGTAGGAATCGCACACAAAATACTTGTTCCACCCCAAACTTCAATATCGTGTCTGAAATACAAATATATATTTATCTTTTCCCTCAAATTTCAGGTTTCAACTGTGGAGAAGCAGTGAACTTTGCAATTGGTGATTGGTTTCCTTTAGGAGCTATTGCTAGCCAGCGATATGCACATCTTAACAGGATGCCTCTGCTGCCTCACGAAGAACTTCTATGCAAAGAAGCAATGCTTCTTCACACAAACTTAGAACTTGAAGATTCAGACTTTCCCTCTGCAGATCTTTTGGCTCATAATTGCATAAGGATTTCTTTTGTGAATCTAATGCGCTTTCAGCATTGTGCTCGTTGGCTCCTAATGAAATTAAGGGCTTGTTCGAGTGTTTCTCCACATTCCCACAGCACAATTCTCTGTAGCCTCTGCAAACGCGATTGTTATGTTGCATATGTAGACTGTGAGTGTCGCATGCACCCGGTGTGCCTTCGCCATGGTATGTTATGACCTCTACTATTCACTTATGTATTATTTCAAAAATATTGTATGAAGATTGGCTGACGCACACTTTCGTGAAATTTATCGCAAACACTATTCTATCATTGATTTTGGATTTGATAGGTTTTCATATAAATAGTCAATTACACGTACCATGTAAATGAGAGAATTATAATCTTGATTTGGGACCAAAAGATGTTTTTGGGATCATTAAATGAAGATTAAACTTGATTGTTCGCATCATATATTCTTATGTGGTGGTTAAGATATTAGCATTTATTTTCTGAAATGAAACTTTGATGATGCAGAAATTGAAGCTCTTGGCTTCACCTGTGGTAGCGAACACACTCTTCATGTGCGGGAGGATATTAATGATCTGGAAGCTGCAGCCAAGAGGTTTGAGCGGGAAGATGGAATCGTGGATGAGATTCTTAAGCAAACCAAGGGTGACAATAACATGTATTCATATCCTTTGTCAAATATGTTCCAGAGAGCTGAAGCAAATGGATATACTCCTTACTGCGAGATAGAATTTGATCCTGTTATTGAACATTATTCAACCCCAGATCAGGCAACAAGTAATCCAGAGGGCAATTTACAAAGTCAACTTGTTTTGAGCCATTGCCCAGATGTTCAACCAGGATTTTGCGAGGCTTCTTTTTCTTCTGCTGCATACACCCTCTGTTCTCTTTCAGAACCTATTGATAGCTCTCCTCCTGTGAAAAATGTAATTCATACTCATCTACTTTTTGAGCATCGTTGCACTGTTTGTTTGTCATTGCCTCTCACTCTGTTGGGATTGGAGGTTAAAATCTGAACTAAGAACCCCGTTCTGTTATTTTTATTTGAAAGCAGGACGATGGGCATGCTTATTTTACTTCAGGCTCTATTGACTCTGAACAATGTTTTGAAGGAGTGTCTAATAGCACATGCCAATCTTTACTATCCTCAGCGCGCTATCACGACATCTCAAGCAAACCTCAGCGCGATCTTGAATTCGAGACGACACCCGTTGTAGATGAAGAGGATAACGATTCTGATTCAGAAATATTCAGGGTAAAGCGGCCATCTTCTCTGAAGGCAGAGAAGAGAAATTTGAATGCTACCATGTCTTCCAAGCATTTTGACCAACAGGTATTTTCAATTAGTTCATCCTTGATTTTTCAAGTGCATCATGTCTAGCTGCTAGACTTATGTGTTGTTAAGTTCTCAGCTACTGGTCTTCAAAATTTACTATCTTGTGTTTGTCTGAATTTATGGACTTAAAATATAACAACCTAATGCGTACGCACTAGCAGGGGCTTAAACGATTGAAGAGAGTTGTTCATGAAGGAAGTAGCCCGCCGCAGCCAATGGATTGCAGTAGAAGCAGTGATTCAAGTAACAAATTTAGTCACCCGATAAAACGGAAATGGGAGGGTGAAAGATCGGTGAAGGACAAATTTGCAGGGGGAAATAGCATCCCCATTTCTGTCAGGTATAAGAAGTTGGGCAGTGAGGGAGTTAGTAGAGAACGAGACATGCACAGGAAAGATAGGTTCCAGCAGGCCATTGGCGAACGGCCTCCCTTAGAGATTGGGCCCAAGCGCCTTAAAGTCCGAGGCCCTTCGTTGTTGAGCTTAGAGGGTCCCGGTTTCGCCCCAAAATGGTAGCACGCACTGGCTAGGCCTACACATTTCAAGAGTCTGACTCCGCTAACATCAATCAGCTAATGGGCTTTTCTAACCACACGAGAAAGAATTTTCAACATGATTGATTCTGGAAGCAGCGGCAAAGATATTAACCATTTAGGATATATATATATATATCACATTCTTTTTGCAGGGCCTAAGATTCGGGCAATCTGCATGGGGCGCTGATCCCTTGGGTTCTTCCGGCCTTGGTGCTTTTCTTTTTCTAACTCTGCTCTGTTGCAGCCATTCTGCAAGCTAGAAGTGAAACCCCACCCCCCTTCCCGAAACCCCAAAAAAAGGAAAAAAAAAAAAGGGTCGGTCTGGTGAAAACCCATGTAAATTTGTTTTATTTAGGTCTCTTATTGTTAGGGTCTCTCCCATTAATATCTGATTTAAGTGCTTTCTGCTGCTTCCCTAGCTGATGTTCATCCATTCTTTTTGTAGCAATAGGTATCTTGTTGTACCTATAACTACTTGATTACAAATTATCTCAATTACTTTACTCCGTGCCTGTTAGTTTGCAATTTGGAGTTTGTTATACGTTAGACGCACTCCACTCGATAGATTTTAACGACACGCTTGTAATTCATGGGAATCAACTGGACTATCCCCCCACCCCCCCAAAACACACAAACTAAACCTGACTTCAGTAGGCCTTCGACTAGGAAGACATTGGATAAAAGGGTACATGTCTAAAGTAGATATTGTAATTTCATTTTTGTTGGTTTTCAAAGTCCAGTCCTGTCCGGTGAAGAAAAACACCCCTAGACACTTGTAGCATTTTAGACATAACAAGGGTGTGCTAGCGTCATTGGTCAGTTTTAGACTTTTAGGTATATTACCTTCCCTAGTGATAGCGGGTTGTTGTCAAGAATTACGTATTTATTGTCACAATTATAATTCACCCCAGCCTGGTGGAAACCTTGTTGCTGGACAAGCCCATCAATTCCCTGTTTGATTAAGAGCCCAAGAGTCTAAGACAAAGCGATGTCTTTGTAGGCCCCCCTTTCTCTCACTCTCAAAATATGTCTAACTTTATTCTTAAAGGAGAATAATTGAGTGGATTTTGTACAAAGTGAAGCAAGAAAAATTGTAACAAGAAAGGGAACAAAGCCAAAAATTATGTTAATGGGTTCTTGTCAAAATCTTGCATATTATCTTTCAGTCAAGACCCCCTCTATACCTGTGGGGTAGCCTCTTACTCTATTGCTCCTCTTCCTTTGAAAATATTCACAATGTCTCATCTTTGTGTTTTTAAAATGCATTTCCCCCCCATTCTCTGCTATATAGGAAAGGAAAAGGATTAATCCTACATGCCTATTTGGTCATAGCTGAGGACTTAAATGGAAAAGGAGACTTTCGCTACTTTTAGGACTTACAATCGTATGGGGGCTTCCATCAAAGAACAAATATTCTTGTTAATTAACTTGCGGTCTATTTTCAAGCACGAATTTCCGGTTTCCCATAAGAAGAAGGGGAAAAATCACACCTGAAATGATTTGGAGAATATTATTGAAAGTGATCATTCTCCAATGGCTATAGGCCTTTGATTAATATATAGGAAGAAAGCTATATACGATGCAGATATTATCCCAAGTGTCTCCAAAGGCCTGCACCAGTATTCCCACGCTGCTTATTATTATCATCTTTTTTATTTCCATAATTCCCAATCAATTAACATGCCACATTCTCCTTCCACCTCAGAGTTATCGCCATAATATTAGTTGATAATTTAGGGAAAAAATATTATAGAATTTAAAAGGAGCGGTCATCTTTGGAGGAGGCTTTTGAATGAGTGATGGATGGAATGAAAAAAGCAGGCAAGTATAATTGAGTATTTATAGGACATGGATGGGACTAATTTTCAACCAGCTAGTGATCTCAATTAACTCCATTAAAGATTCCCTTATTATCAACCAGAACGAGAATCAAAACTGTTACCATCATGTCGACTCAATAGTTCATATATACGCCATCCCTCTTAGTTATTTACTTTTTGTTTTTTTGGGCCAGACTCTTAGTTATTTACTTGGTATTATGATATTCTCTTTTTTATTAATTACTTTCTGCGTAAAATTGGAGAAATGAATACGGAGGAGGAAATTAAATGATAGAGTACGTGTATGGTCCAAAGGTTACTGAACAGTAGACTGACTGATTTTGTGGTTCAAAGGTTGCTACGTAATGGATTTGACACGGTGAGAGCCATTAATGGGTTTTGCTTCTTTTACGTTTACTATCTCCTGCTACAAATCAAACAAACATTTACAACTTCAACTTATGACGCATCTTGTCGGTAAGAATGATCAGATCCAACCGCTCAGTTCAATAATGACCAAATTTCGCATTTTTATGTATATTTTCTAACAATATTAAATCTTTTGTGTTTTCTATTAATTTTATCTTTAAATTTTAGCATGCCATTTTAATCTAACTAGCAAATTATATGTCCTTTTTTTTATACAACTTTGTGAATTTTTTCTATCCCCTGGATTTAATTCTCAAACTTCTCTGAGGAACCGTATCTCACATAGATTATATCTGTTTTTTTAAAGTTATTTCGAATAGATTAATAACTATGATAAATTAGAATTCTGAAAAAATTTGTCGTGTGAAACAATTTATTTTTTGAAAAAAGATAAATATAATCAAATAGAGGGAGTAATTTTTTTTAAGGAGTAAACCATAGCTCACGGAAATTATGTTTTCAGCAACAAACACCCCCTACAAGTACTGAAATTTAGGTTTAATGATAATAAAAGAATAATCATGTGTGACGAAAAAAAGGAATGATTAATTATTAAAATTACTCTCTCTAGTTCTATTTATAAGATAGAGAAATAATATTTTCTTTGTTCTATTTATAAGTCATTTTATTAATTTGTCTTTACAAATTCTCTCATTTACTTTTCATTAAATGTTGAAGAGAAAAAAATATTGTTAATATATATATATATATATATATATAATAGGCACAAAAATGGAGAAATTATTAAATTTTTTGATAGAGTTAATAAATTTTAAGTTTTCTTTGATTTTAATAAAATATATTAAAAGTAATTTATAAATAGGATCAAAAGAGTACACATACTATGAGATTCTTCCTTGAGCATGGGAAGGAAGACTGAGACGACCAAGGAATAGTTTATGATTTATCCAATATGAAATGTTTGAAGAGATATACTTTAGATGCTTCTAAAGCACAAATTAAATCTCAAATAATATCGAATGCGCAACATATATATGTTCCAAATCCTAATTTTTGTTCCTAAGGAATATATATGGAATATAGTGATTGGATTAGTGATAAGAAAATAACAGTCACTACCCCAATTGAATCGCGAAGTGTTAATGATTTCGATCAGAGAACAAAGTGTGAGCAGTTTTTTATATACAAACACTACCCCAGTCATAACACACGTACAAGTTGTATTTCATAAACGTGTGATTAATTGCAAAAATATTTTCTTGATCAATATGTTCAAAATTTCTCCAAGGCACGAAGACTGTATATATTTTAATTGTGAACGTATATATAAACAGAGAGCACTAGACTTCACTTTAGTCAGTGCTCTTGGATAGTAAAAGATTTGGGACTCATTTTGCTTGACTTGAGATTTTCAAGAATTGGATACTCGCGGCTTATTAGTCCATTTTCTCTGCACATGAAGATTTTGTTAATCTCAAGCCTTTAAATTATAATAAAACGAAGCTAGCCTACTGGGTAACATTTCTAATCTAAAAAACACAAAACGACACTGCTTATGAGACTAGCATACGCTTCCATGCCTGTGACCAAAACATGTGTGCGTGCGTGTTCTAATTCTCAAATCAAACAACTTTCCTGCACCTTAATTTCTGTGCATGCACTCCATCCATTTAAAAATATAAAATATTTTTAATTTTTTTAAAAAAATTAGTTAATTATTTTTAAACTCATATTATCTTTTTATATTTATTAGTGTACTTCATTTAAAAGTGAATGTTTGAGTAGTTTATTTATTTAGAGTATTTTTTAAAAAAATTATTAACTATGAAGTAAAAAATTAAAAATACCTTATATTTTTGAATATTTAACTTTGAAAAATATGTCATATATTTTTGAATGGAAGGAGTATTTATTTTATATGGAGCCAAAAAAATAAACTATACTATTTGTGGCTCGTGAATATATAGTATAGTTTTAATATATTTGTGAAAGGTTTTGTATTATATAATCAGAACAAATTATTAAATTGCTTTTGAGAAATTAAAATAAAAGGGGAAAGGGAAAGGGGAAAAAAAAGGAGGGGGAGGGGCAGAGCTTTATGGATGGATGACTCAAAGGAAGGCATATGAGCACCCAAAAGCAAAGAGTAACCCTTACCAAAGCTATCCCCATTGCATCTTAATTAAAGCGTTGTTTAAAGCTTTTCATATGTGCCCCAACCTATAAATGATTCTACTTTCTTTTCATTTAAAGCCCAAATAATAATATATAAATAATTAAAGAAAATTGATTTTTCATTGTCTTTCTTATTGGGTACATATATTCCCATATCAAAAGAAATCTACTCAAAGTACGGTCAGACATTACATATGGACACATCTTTCATATTGTACACAGCAGAATACTAAATATGGGTCCTTTTTTTTAATAAAAATTTAAATATTAATTCATTCCGTCATGAGAAGTTAATTTTTTTTTTTTGTAAGATCCAACTCATGTTGGTCCATTGTTCTTTCCTTATTAACAATCTATTTGTGAAAGTAATTAAATCTATATGTGGCGGTCATTTTCAACACTTTCTAATTAGAATAACGGTTTTGGTTTTTAGGATAAATTCTAAGAACAAAGGCTACTTGAAATGCTAATTGAAAATATCATACTACTTTTAACTATTGTATCTCTCTACCTCTTTTTGTCATTGCCTTGTGTTTGAAATCTAATCTCAGTACTAATTTCAGGATTATCTTGCAAAAGCATTTGGGGGTTATTGATTATGGGCTAATTTTGTTCTATATAAAATTTTGAGACAAATTATTATATACAAACTCAAAAATAACAATAATATCATAAGTGCAATGTATTGGCCGGTAAGGTAGATATTTAAAATAAGAGGCTATATTGTTACAATTATTTGAAATTTAATACTATGATGTTAAACTTGAGTATTGTGGGATCTGATTAAGGATGATTTTTCAAACTTAATTTATTTATCCACGTAGTTAGACTTGAGGATTAACCAAGCCAACCACTATTGATTAATTCAAATAATTAGCTTGAACAAATTCAGGAATGAGAGTTTAATAAGATAAAAATTGTGTAGGAGTAAGCCCTGCCTCTTGTGTGTATATATATATATGATTTGTTCTTTAATTACCCATGACATAATTATAAATAATACGACTCTTTATAACCTTTATGTATGTATATTAAATTTGATTATATATAGTTAATTGGTTAGTTTTTCAAGAATCTTGACTTAAGTGGAATTTTAGACAAAATAATTAAGTGTTAGG